GGATGTGGGGCTCCCCGGAGGAGGAGATGCAGAGGTGGCGCAGCCGCCGCGGGCGGGAGGCAGAGCCGGGACCCGCCGGGCACGCCCGCACCCGCCGCACCTCTGGGAGCCGCGGGACCCGCCGCGGGCGGACGTGGCAGAAAGGACCTGAAACACTTGTCCGCTGGAGCCACAGGGTGCTGCGGGCCCGGCCCTAGCAAAACTTGAGGGGCCAGTGGTGGAAACGTAGTTTTGGTTGTTTAACTCCAGAACTGGGCCAAAGTGCACCAGGTGGTGACAGGGCTCGAAGCCCTACGATAGCCCCCACAAACGCGCATTTTGTAATTTTCAGCATAGGGACAAGGAGTGTAAAAGCATCCCCGAGAGATAACTGGCATCTCTTTTCTATAACCTTAGTTATCTAAACGCCATTCTGTATAAGTCATTGTTTATACATTGCTTACATTAACATTTAAATCTGAGCCGTGAAATTATTACTATTTAGCTCTTAATAGGTTAAAGGTAAGCCAGAAGTGTAAAAGTGGTCTCTGATACATAGAAGATCTACAAAAGACTCAAATGCATCTTTCAAGACACACCTAGACCTAATTCCTCGATAGACTTTAAGGACATGCATAATTTCAAAAGACTGCAAACCTGATTTGTATGTACACATGAATTTGACTGAAAATTAGTCTGTCACCATAAGCAAGTGAGATGGTGCAAATGACACCACAGCCCACAAGAAGGTTGAGCATCATTCAAATTGAACTAAAGAAAGTTGAGCTTCATCCTTACGTTACCAAAACTTTTCATCTGCCTGAATCTCTTGGAAAGCCTTGTTCTTGTATATGCAAAAATATCCTACTGCCTTAACAATTGTGGTTATGCTCACGCTCTTTCTTGATTACATACACATTGCTTTAGGCTAAGAAACTGAATCATGGGATTAAGAGCGTGATTTAGTGTAACTTGCAGTGATAAAAAAGAAAGAGGAAGAATGTTGCAACAATTCAATTGTGCAGTATCTTAAAATGAACTATAAAAATTAAATAGAACTTGTATGGGGAAATTCCAGTTACGAGAAGAAAAAATATCGACAATTTTTAGTTCAGCATTTTTGCAATTCTTACTTACATTTCTCAAGTACCCTGTGTATGCCTAGAGGTAACTTATTAATGTATTAGTTTACCACATAACAGCTGTCACAGTGAGAGAAAGACCACATCTAAATTTATCATTGAAACTCCTAATGTCTCATCAAGTAAACCTCAAAAATACATTTCTGCATAGATAAAAATGAACTATGATTTTGTGTTTTCTAGCAGCTGAGGCCTAAAAGATGGTTAGGTTTTGCCCCAATTCGTTCTTTTGCTCATAGTACACAAAATCCGAACTAATTGGTTGTGCTGGGGTGGCTGGTGGTATGAATTCTTAGTGAGAGTAAAGGGAATTTACCTTAAGGTATTTGCTGTCAGTTAATACTCTGGTCAATCCCCTGTAGGCAGAATATAATCTTCCTTCTTGAAAAATTTGGGACTTTAGTTTGGAGACAAATAGTTTATGATGGCTCTGAAGGAAATCTGATGATGATGAGTCTTTTGGCACTAAAATATTTATTCCCTGACTTCTCTACTTTTTTGTCTTTCCACTCTTCAGAAGACTGTTTAACTGTAGAATTCTACTACATGAGACAGTGACACAAATGCTGACATTTTCATACAGGTTTCCTCGTCTTTTCCTTGGTGGTTGTGCTCACCTATGCACCATTGCAAATAAGTGAGCTCATTATTTTTGTTTCATATGTGCCATTTGCTCTTTTCTTTTTCACAAAAAGAAAGTAACCATCACAAATACTTTTTTTTTTTTTTTTCTTTTTTTCCAAAGCAGCAGACCAGAAGTAAAACAAAAATGTACCTAAATCTTCATTTAGCTTCAAGGAATTTTTAGTGGAAAATATGACATTAAGAAGATTTGCCCTTAAAAGTCCAGTGCAATACTTTGTAAATACACTGTAGATATGATACAGTATTCTTGGTGTGAAATGAAAGCATACATCTAAGTTTATTGAGTTTAAAAATTGGAAATAGCAAAATTCACCTGTAAAGCTTTATCTTGAGAAAAGCTTTAATTAAAAAATGGAGTTCAGTGCAATTTCAGGTTATTTGGATTGCTCTTATGATGTGAAGTGTTCCAAGAACTTCAAATGTCTTTCTTTGCATGTGCCAATTCCATTCTCTTCTCACCTAAAGTCCTTCAAAAGCTTTGAAGTGATTACAGTCCTGTACTTAGCATAGAGCAGTTTCTGATTTGCAAAATCCTTCAAAATTGTCACAAGTGGCCCACTTTCTAAATGGAGTCCTTTGTTGTATTAATGAAAACACTCCAGAAACATGAGGAAAAGATGTGAAGTTCAAGGTGAAAAAATGGACTAAATGAAGCATGGATTAAGATGGTTTTCAGAAGTGTCAAAAAAGAAAAAAGTTACTGTACTCTTCATCAATTCCACTATCAAAAAGAAACAAGACAATACAGAGTACAAGCTGGAACAAGTCTTCAGAAAGCATTACAACAAGAAAATACAGATGAATAGAGATTCTTAATGCCTGAGAAGTTGTAAAAACTTGTCTAAAAGCCTGGTCCAAGCTTCTGTTGTCTGAGAATTTGGAACCAGTCTAGTCAAAAGAAATACAAGATTTTTCTCTATTTTTTGAATCAGCTTTTCATGGAAAAGGTTTCTCCCCTCACCCTAAACATCCTCCCATTCTTGATAAATCATCTTAGCAACTGATTACAGAAATGCTTCTGTAACATAGAAAGGGTTTGAGAGCAAATATTAATTAATAAATAATTGATACATAAAAATTAAATCTTTTGATAGGATCATATTTTTCTGGCTTGAACTTAACAAAACTGTCAAAATCTTTAAGAATAATTCCTTATATAGAGAGTGCTTTCTCTTTTGGGTGTTGAGAGCACAGGCATTCATTCTGAGCACCTATCGTTTTGTCTGTGCTCACTGGTAGGTTCAGTAGCAGTAAAACTAAACCAGCCTCACTGTTGGAATGAAGACTATTCATCTTCTTGAATCACATAAAAAAAATATCTCTGGCTAGTACCTACTTGTCACATCATACACCTGAGAGAAAGTTTTATTCTCAGAATCATTGCTCAGTTTCCAGTGAACTTTGACATTAGCTAAAGTCTTTGCATGTTTATGTTTCTGACAGTAGCGTTCCTTGGGTACCTCTGTTTACACACAGTTGTGCCTCTTGGTACTACTGAGTAACTGAAAACTCAGCTCACACCCAAATTGTGTAAATATTTATGAGCTGCATGTTTTTCATTGGCTTGACCAACACAGCCTGATCAAATAGATATCAAGTGGTTGTACGTTAGACAGGAAAAAGCAGCATAAAAAGGTAATGGCATCACAGTATTCTTCTTTTGAAGAGCACTCACCTTGTATAAAAGAGCCCTGCTTCAGAGAACTTGAACCCACATACTCCCAGGAGTATGTCCTTCCTGGGAGCATGAGTAATTCTCTGGGGTGATTGTTTGCACATATGTAGCGAAAAGAGGGAAGACGATTCTATGATGAAGGAATTCACTTTTCTATATAACATGTAGTTTCTTTATATGATATTTTTCTTATATATGTGTGTGTATAAAATCTGTAGATCTTCTCACACTCATACTCCATCTGTCTGTCCCAGTGAACTTCTAATTATCCCCTATAAAGGTGAATTGCTTCAGCAGAAGAGACTTACAACACCTTGGGCCTAGAGTGCTCTTACGCTGTATCTACATTAGTAAAGTAAACAGTGCCTAGGAACATTCTCAGGCATTGGAACGCAGTTGCTCTCCTGGGGTGAAGTCCTTTCAAAGAAATCAGAAAATTAAGCCAAATTCTCTCACATCTTAGGACACTGAATGCCATTAGATAAGTTTTACTCTATAACGGTGGTAATTTGGCAGATAAAACAAATGTAATTTCTAAAATGTCATTTATGGAATCATTTATGTCATTTCATGAGCAAAGTATTGCTCTGTCACATCTCTGCATATTGCATACAGAAAAGGAAGAAACGGCTCAAATAGTATGCTCTAAAACTACAATTTCTTTCTGAAGAGAAGATTCAGTACTACAAATGGAGCTTAAGTGTGCAGCAGACAACATTCCAATGTATATGTTTAAATGTCTTATGGGTGTAGCAGCAGTTCACACAAGTTACATTTCTCTTGGGGTTTCATGTGTACATCTCATTTATGTTTCACGGATCTCAATTAATGTTTAATTTCTTTTTCCTCCTGCTTTAGTGACACTGGAACTAAACCTCCAGAGAGTGGTATCTTTGGTTTTATGATTAATATTTCAGCACTTTTAGGTATGTATAAGGTACTTGGTTTGAACACAGCAAAGAAATGAAAACTAGCAAAAGCTGTCTGCCTGCACTGCAGTCCATACAGTCCATACGATAGTCTGCAAAAACAGTACTCCACAGTCAAATGATAGTGTCAGAGAGATGGTAGTAATATCTAGAGGGTCAGGTCCTTAAGGTCAGGAATTGCAGGCTTTAGGCACTCTGTCCCTTACGAGCACCTCACCAGTGCAAATGTAGTCAGTGCAGCTGGAAATAAAAAGTGGAAGAAAGATGACATAATTACTTTGCAAAAACTGTATCTTTAATGTAGGGAGACATTAGGTTCCAGGATGCTGCAGCAAGGGGAAGAACAATGTTGAAGCAACACCTGGTTTCCTCTGCAAGGTGCCTACTCCTCTACTAAATGTCTACTGCCTTGAGTCAGGAATTTTGTCATTTTCTATTCACTTTTAGGGGGTTGAGGATCAAGAGCTGTGTACCTCTGTATACATGTAGTCCATGATGGCCTTCATGCAAAGTAAAAATCATGTATTTTACCTTTTCTGAGAGCCTCATTCAGTCACACTCTCTTGGTGTGTTTCATGTAACCTCATAGTGCCTGGACAGAGTTACCTGATTTATTTTTCCAACTGTGATTGGAAATTCTATCTGTGATTCTGGTAGACTGAAACTATGTTCTGTGTTACTGAACTATGGAAATCAGTCTACAGCTTATTATATCCTGATGAACCATGATCTTCTAATTCAGTAGAGGTGTTTGTCAGGAATGAACTGCATATTGGGGTCACATAGGCTGGAATAAAATCTGTATGTAGTGGTTTGGGGATGCTGTTGTACTAAAGAGCAGCCAGGATTGCCCCAAAAGCTTGAAAATGTTTTATGGATACACAGCTAGTTAAATTTTTTCTGTTTACAGTCTACAAAAAATGTATTAACTCTTCAGGACATCCATTATAAGGAGATGTAGCTCTGGTACAAGACTGTGTATCAGAGAAGAATAAATTCTCCCACTTCCACCCTATAGGTGAGGGTTCACCTCCCTATAACATCTATTTCTAATGTAGAATGCCAGTGCCTCTGTGACTAAAACACCCAGAAGAATGGGATTTAAATTAGTCTTTTTCTTGAAATTATGTGCAGTTATTTCTAGAGCATTAATGTGCGATGTTGAGACTAAAATAATGTTAAGACAGTTCTATCTGAATGTAATTCATCTGACATTCACTAACTTCTTCATCCCGGTAGAGTTAAAGGCAGTAATATTCATTGTGTTATGCTTATAATTTTATTCTGTATACTAATGTGTTACAGGACAAGGTGTTAAAGTTTAAGCAATACATGATCATTCAACAAAATATGTGCTTTTTGTTTTTCAGGTGTAATTACAATGTACATCAGATATTTATTAATAGAAAAGCAAAATGAGTCATCACACTTTGTTAGGTCTTCGTGCAACATGTTTTCATTATGTATTGGATTGATGGGCTGTATTGGAATGGGCATAGTTGCAACTTTTCAGGTATGACTATAAATTTTATATCATCGGTGAAACTGAATTTGTTTTACCAGTTCAAAAATCAAATAGGTAAGAGTGGTTAACATCATCCCAGTGTGGATACTTGGCAAATGGAATAAGAATGTCTTTCTTCCTACCTTTTTTTCAGTAGCTTTTACAGTACAGATAGATTTACTTTCTTCCTATGTACTAGATTTTTTGCTTGTATAGTTAGATCAGTAAGGGGTTTTGTCTGCGCTTGCCTTACATGTCTATACTAGAAAGCAACTTAATATAGATGCTTTTGCAGTAAAACTTTTACTATGAAAATCTTGCTGCAAAAAACCTTTGCTATTTGCAGTTTAGTCTGCTTACAGTCAGGTAGGGCAGAATAAGTCAGACTAACAAAAACACCTGTATTTTTACCTGAAGGCACACACACTAGTAGCATTTTCTACACAACAAACAAGACGTATCTGGCAGGTTAGGACATTGAGCACAATATTAGCCCATTGTTTTGAGTCTGTAGGAGCTGGCATAAAAACATGTTAAGTCTTTTGAGAGACATGTAGAATTACCACTTAACTTTTCCAGAACAGATAAGACATCTCATTTTTAATCAAAGAAGTCCAGCCCTCAGTGTCTGAAAGAAAATTCAATAAAGGGGAAAAATATTGAAACAGACTATTCTTTTCATCTTTTCTAGTTGGGAAGCGTGTAATAGGGTAGATTCCTACATAAAGAAGTATTAGAAGAATTGCACTGAAAACTTCAGCTGAGAATCAAGTCAAGTTTAATTGGCAGGTAGTTTGAGATATTGCCTTTAAATCTGTAAAAACAGGTGAATTATTTCTTTTAAGGAATGTTCTACCTTGGGGAACATTTTGGTAAATACTGTTGTGCTCAGTGTAGTGGCCTAACAACATACAGAGAAATTGAAAATAAAGATTGTCAGGGCTTTAGCGGGTAATGCAATTTTGCATGTGATTGACATGGTATTTTTAGACAAAAGCCTCTGCCTTAGACTGGTATCTCCAGACAGTGTGTGTGCACTGCAAACACTACAGGCACTGCAGTCTATTCTAAGCATGCTATTCTACTTTTAAATATCTGTACTCGTATTGATTAGATATAATGAGGCACCAAAAAAAAGTTAGATGATTTGGAACAGTGTTACTTGACTGAAATAGAAAAACCTCAGCTTCAGTACGGAAAAGACAACTCAGGAATGCAAAATAACTTGGGAGAGTTCGATCCTAAAGCTTCCAAAGGGGCCCCATGGCAGTTATAACATTGGTTCTTATCTAATCTCTATTGTCTCTCATTGCCAGTTCATAAACTCCTTCCTTACCTAATTTCTCTTTCCTCTGCTTTGACCTTGCTTTCCACGTTGGGTTCAGAACAAAGAAGGATCTAAACTAGCTAACAATCTGATCTAGCAGATTTTGGAGCATATTTAATTGCCCAGGAATATGGAAATGATGGCTTGCAAGTCTTTGGTCTTTTAAATGTATAGCGTACAACTAGTGAACAGTACACATCCCCATTTAGCAGTAGAAAAACAGACATGAAGAGGGTATGAGACTTGCTCAAGGTCAGGTGATTGTTTCAGGTCAAGAGACCAAAGCAAAGCTAGATTTAGAAGTTACTTGTTTAGCATTCAGTCTAGTCCATCTAATCAGTGGGTAATGCAGAAAATTCACATTCATATGCTCTACCTGTTCAGCCTGGAGAAAGAGAAGGCTCTGGCGACAACTTATAGCGGCCTTCCAGTATTTAAAGGGGCTACAGGAAAGCTGGGGAGGGACTCTTGATCAGGGAGTATAGGGATAGGATGAGGGGTGACAGTTTTAAACTGAAAGAGGGTAGATTTAGATTAGATATTAGGAAGAAATTCTCTATTGTGAGGGTGGTTAGACACTGGCACAAGTTGCCCAGAGAAGCTGTGGCTGCCCCCTCCCTGGAAGGGTTCAAGGCCAGGTTGGATGGCGCTTTGAGCAACCTGGGCTAGTGGGCAGGGGGCATGGAACCATGGCAGGGGGGTTGGAACTGCATGATCTTTAAAGGTCCCTTCTAGCCCAAACCATTCTATGATTCCACCTGTTTGTTTCCTAACACTACTTTTCCCCAGCAGGTAAGCTAACACCATACCTGACTACTCTAGTAGAGCTGATTGACACTACTGGGCATCAGTTCATTTTTCCCTGAAGCAAAAATAGGTATTTTGTTAAAAAGGCTTCTGTGTGAAATTGTATGGGAAATATTTAAGGTTTGCTTTTATTTACTCAAATCCAGTGGCACTCGTGGTGAGTCTTTTATGTAGCATAATTAGTTGTAAAGATTTTTTTTCACCCTTTTTGCTTCAAGATAAGATTTGGTAGGAAGCATAGGGTTTTAATGGTCTTGGTCTCTGAACAGTTAGCAAAAATGAGGAATGAGGTGGGAGAAAACTCAAGGAGTGTGTCCTCTAAAAGCAAAAGAGTTTCTGAGAAAACAATTAGTGGTTCTGAATAAAGTGTTTGTTCTCTGTTTTGAGTAACACAAAACTTGAAATACAGAAATTGAAAGACAGCAGAGGGTTAGTTTTAAGAAGATAATTGAATATGGAAGGAAAAAATCCCATAGCCCTTAATGAATAACACAAAGTGAAAACCCAGGTCATAGCAGGTCTGGTTTTGCCTGTTAGATGTTACACATGGTGAAAGAGAGATCTTCCTGTCTTTGACTAGAAAGCTTAGGAGGCTTACTATAGCAGATGTAGCAACGTTTCCCAGGTTCTGTAGGGGCTGAGTGTGACGGGTTTTTTAGGGAGGCTGTGGCAGTTTGATCGGAGCAATCATGAGAGCCCTGTTAGCAATATGGTGTATGGGGCTGAATGCAAAAACCAAGCTATGCTTGCTTAGTGCTTTCCATACCAAATCCTGTTATATGGAAGGCAAATAGTGGGACAGAGAAGAAAATGTAAATACAGATGAAATGCCACTTGTTGATCACCTGTGTGAGGAACATGCTTTAAAATCTGACAGAACTTTGTATGTCATAGAGAGACCTGATCTCCTTCTACGACAGGGTGACCTGCTTATCGGATGAGGGAAAGGCTGTAGATGTAGTTTACCTTGACTTTATCAAGGCTTTTGACACCGTTTCCCACAGCATTCTCCTGGAGAAACTGGGTGCTCGAGGTTTGGACAATCGCACACTTCGCTGGGTAAAAAACTGGCTGGACGACCAGGCCCAGAGAGTTGGGGTAAATGGAGTTAAATCCAGCTGGAGGCTGGTCACAAGTGGTGTCCCCCAGGGCTCGGTTTTGGGGCCACTCCTGTTCAACATCTTTATTGATGATCTAGACGAGGGAATCGAGGGCACCCTCAGTCAGTTTGCAGATGACACCAAATTGGGTGGGAGTGTTGGTCTGCTCGAGGGTAGGGAGGCTCTGCAGAGAGACCTGGACAGGCTAGAGCCATGGGCTGAGCCCAACTTGGGGAGTTTCACTAAGGCCAAATGCCGGGGGCTGCCCTTGGGCCACAACAACCCCCAGCAGCGCTACAGGCTTGGGGAGGAGTGGCTGGAGAGCTGCCAGTCAGAGAGGGACCTGGGGATGTGATTGACAGCCGGCTGAACAGGAGCCAGCAGTGTGCTCAGGGGGCCAAGAAGGCCAATGGCATCCTGGCTTGTGTCAGCAATAGCGTGGCCAGCAGGGACAGGGAAGGGATCTGACCCCTGTACTTGGCACTGGTGAGGCCGCACCTCGATTCCTGTGTTCAGTTTTGGGCCCCTCACTACAAAAAGGACATTGAATGACTCGAGCGTGTCCAGAGAAGGGCAACAGAGCTGGTGCAGGGTCTGGAGCACAAGGTCTGTTGGGGAGCGGCTGAGGGAACTGGGGGTGTTTAGTCTGGAGAAGAGGAGGCTGAGGGGAGACCTCATTGCCCTCTACAGCTCCCTGAAAGGAGGGTGCAGAGAGCTGGGGATGAGCCTCTTTAGCCTAGTAGAAAGTGACAGGACAAGAGGGAATGGCCTCAAATTGCACCAGGGAAAGTTTAGACTAGATATTAGGAGGTATTTCTTTCCAGAAGGGGTTGTTGGGCGTTGGAATGGGCTGCCCAGGGAGTTGGTGGAGTCCCCATCCCTGGAGGTGTTCAAGAGTAGGGTCGATTTGGAGCTTAAGGATATGCTGTAGGTGGGAACTGTGCTAGGGGAGAGGTTGGACTAGCTGATCTCCAGGGTCCTTTCCAACCTAGATGATTCTGTGATTCTAAACTTAGTCTACGCTTTTATGTGAACATGGGGAAGGACTTTGACCTGGTGGCTTTGGACATGGTTAGTTTACCTCTCTGAGCTACTCTTTCTCCATTTTCTCTCATCTTCCCTATGTAGACTGTTGGAAGAAGGGACTGCTTCCCACTGCTTGTACGTGCCCAGTATAATGTGGCTACCATCTTCTCGGGGCTCATTGATTCCTACCACTGTTCAAATAGTAGCAGCTAACCTTTGTGCTGATTCTCTTTCCAGGAGCTGTCTGTTCCCAGTGTCCATGACATAGGAGCTTTGGTGGCATTTGGATCGGGTGTTGTATACATTACACTTCAGTCTATAATCTCTTACAAGTCCTGTCCACAATGGAACACTTACTTTGTGTGTCACATAAGGATGGCCATATCTGTAATATCATGCATTGCTTTCATTCCAAGTATCCTTTATAGTATATCCCACGGTTTTCCCTTTATGCATTCATGATGTCCTTTTTAAGTTAAACCATCGCTGATAAAGGATGAAAATAAGGTTACAATCTTTGCTTAGAGCTCTCTAATATTTCTGCTATAATAACACATATAGCATGTCAAGACACCATTTAATAGCCTAAAGATGAGTTTCAGGGTCTTCTGAAAAGCTGTATCTCTTCTTTCAGCAGTATATTTAAATCTAATGCCCCAGAGTTCTTTATAGGAACATACAGTACTAAAGCTAGAACAACTTTCCAACCTTCTTCATTTGAAGGAAGGTATGGAAAAAGGCCTCCAAAAGGCAAGCAACTGCTTCTAAAATGAACCTAACACACGGACATATAAAATACAGTTGGCATACACAAGGTTTCCTTCAAGCCTAAGCAGATGCTTTTGATCATGTTGGTTGGTTCTTGGCTTCATTAGACACCTCCCCTAGAGACACACTCAACATATTTACTGGCTTTTCCGACAGCCTGCTGAAATTAGTCATCCTATTGATTTTATTTGTCTTTAGGTGATCTGCCATTGTTGAAAAGTGGTCGCAGTAGATGATCACATCAGCCAGCCAGCTACAGCGTGCTTTTGGTTTCAGCAGCTGTGAAAGGGCTTTCAAAGAGGGCCCCAGCCCTGAGAGAAAGTTGTACAAATGTGTGAAGGCATCTATTGTGGGCCAATGGAAACCAGCACGGTTCCCCTTCCACCAATGCAGGACTCTACTCCCACAGTTCTCAATCATGAATGTGATCTAAGTTTTGGAATGTCTCCCTTTATCCTCTGTACTTTGGAAGACCCCAAAGAAACCTTTATTTGTTTTAATTGCTGCTATCAGTGACCTTTCAGTAATGCATTTCATTTACTTGTCTTCTTAATACTTTGATTTGATATTCTGGTTGTTTGGGATCTCCTGTGTTACAGAAGGGAGAGATGCTTTTTGTAAGCAGACATTTTCATTATTACTCAGTAAACTTTTATAGTTTTTTTCACTATTAATCACTAAACTTTTATAGTTTCCTTTACACTGTATTTTTCCCAGTGATTGTGTTTGCCTCACAAATTTCCATGACAAAAATTGATTGGAGTCCAGGTGAAAAGGTAAAATCTCATTAGGTGGCCAACCTACCCTGTATCATATTGTTTGGTTACGCTGTTATGTTTATCTAAAAGTGTACAGGTTTACAAACACTTCAGAGACTTTAAATAGTACATTGCCATGATGAACAGATTTGTGAAATATCACTGCTTTGTGCAATGCTGGCTTCTAGTCATTTTTTCATTAGAAAACTCTATGTGGCTTGGGTAAGAAAACTGTTACGGATGGGTCGCTCTTCTGGCAGTTAGACTTCCATTTTATCAAAGCATTTGAAACTTGAAATTTGAAATCCATAGAACAAATTGTAAAAAAAAAAAACAAAACAAACCAAACAACAAAAAACCCACAAAAAAACCAAAAGAGAAGATATTCTGGAAGTGAATTGTTCTACTTCCTTTTATAGTCACATTTCTTGAAAATGAATTTCATACGTGAAACAGAAGTGGACCAAATGATTCTGAAGTTTTTGAGGTTTTTTACAACATTGGTTTTCTCAGCTTTTTCACCATTCTTCATTAAATATCTTTACTATTGTGACAAACACTGGGGCTCTGATCTGAAGGATACTAAAGTCAACTTTAACTGATTTCAGTGTTCTCAGGATTATAACTCTAAAAGGTAAGTTTTCTTTTTTGACAAACTTTGCCACTGGAGGTATTCAAAATACAGGTTAAATAATGCAGAGAATGTATCCTGCTTTAAGAGTTTGGTAAAAGCAAACTCGGCAAATGTACTTCAACCAAACAATGGCAAGGCAGCTGTGAGATAAAATCTTCACAAGTTAGATAACCTTAGCGATATCTACCTCTTGAGGTTTGTTTTGGATTTTTTTTTGTGGTTTGTTTTTTTTTTTTTTTTCCTTGAGAAATAGTTTTTACTGAAACAGATGGCGTATTTGTTGAAAGTGTGTCAAGAAATACTTTATATTCTGTTTGTGTCATATTACATAGGTTTTCTATGATGGTCTACTCAAAACCAAAGGTCTTGTCAGGAACTGTCATACAAGAGTAGCCCTCCACTTTAAAACGACATGAGCATTTACTGTAAGGGATAGTACTACTGAACTCAGGGGCTCTGAGTAAAAGTTTCGAATATGGGACTTTGGTATCCTTCACATAAGAAATAATTTTTTTCAGGTGCAAATTATATTCAATCTATGTTTTGATTTTATGCTAATTGTAGATTTCTTGTACTGTTTTTTATGTTGGTGCACAAGACACGATCCTTACTGGAACATACACAACCTTGATAAATATACTTACCATTCTGTAAAAACTAATCTGAATTGACTTTTATACAAGAGGGTATTTAGATCATGAGGTATAAGTCTTAGAATATTTGTTGAATCTACAGAAGGAAATGTCTATTTTTATAGCATTCCACAATTGTTTAGCTGTTTTGGCTGAAAATTTATTTTATGTCTCATTTCATCAGGATTATACTTATCATTTTATGAGTGCGATCTGTGAATGGACGGTGGCCTTTGGTTTTATCTTCTTCTTTTTAACATTCATTAGAGATTTTCAGGTTGGTACCTACATATTTTACCAGTGACTAAGAGGTGCTATGAATTGTGTAACAACAAATGCAATAAAAAATTACCATTCTTTATTTCAGCTAGATATACCAAAGCTGTACAGAAACAAATTTTATCAGTCACAGAACTGATTTCTGTCTACCTAATAAACATTTTTCTCCTGGGTTTTAAAACATAAAAATTAGTTTTATAAATAAGTTTAATAGTTTAACAGGTGTCTGGTGTTGAAAATTACTCAGTAAATTAATATCTTCTACTTATTTAACAATCTTTTTTTTAGAAAGAGACCCTCTAAAAGTGACATAATACCAAAATACATGATGCAACTAAAACTACATTTCTTTCTATCTGAGGGATTTTTATATAATAATCCAGTCCATTTCAACGATAGATATTTCCTTCCTTTTTAAAAATTACACATATTGACATACATCATGTGAAGAATATCATGTGCTTTTTGAAAAGTACTGACATGAAAACTTTCTGGTTTGTGTAGCTGCATCTGGTGTTGTATCAAGCCTGGCTTTAAGAAAGAGAAAATAATTAATTTGTTAAAAAGAAAACACTTTTATATGATTTGTGACAAGCATGCCTTGAACTTACTTTCCCAAGCTTTGACTCACCAACTCTTGTTTACACAGCATGTTCTAGCTGAAGTTTTTGTTTAGTACAGGGATACGAAGTGCTGAAAATACCAATGTGTGAGGCTTAACTTTGGTAAAAGAACTTGCAAAAAAAAAAAACTAAACCCCATTGCTCATGGCAAGTGTCTTGTGAAGATTGGAGGACAAAACCTCCTGGATATTATTCTCAGACTTCTGTATGTTTATTTTCTCCATAAAGTCGCTGGATCTGTGCAATACTGGAGTAGAGAGCTTAAGGTAGAAAGGACTGAGAACTGCTGCTTTATACCATAATTACAAAGATGAACTAATGCAGTTGTGGTCACTGTAGATGTCACACCCCATAAGTAGGTCTTTCATATATACCACTGCCTCACATAAGTCCCAGAAAGTTGAAAACTAGATCCAAGCAGTTGCGTAACTGTAGAACGAATAACCAAGATCTCACGTGTGTGAACCAATCGGTGGTGTGCTAAACTGCTGGAAACCATATCCAGACTTTCTGGAGGTGGGAAAGGAGGAAAAATAATGAGAACCCTGTATGTCCTTTGGCATTAGACCAAAGTTTGACATCAGATCATGTTAAACTTTGTAATTCATTTACTTGCTTCTTCACTTATGTGCTTGCTCCGCCTGGAAGTGATTAATACTTATATATAATCTGTACATAACTTTCATAAGCAAAGACAGTAATTTTCCGCTAAGGATTCAGAGTTAACATATATTTTGCTAATCGATAGCAAACATTTCTACACCTTTTTACTTTTGACGGATAGTATAGAATACAGCATGGCTGTAGGACTTCCCCTCTTTTTTTTTTTTTTTTTTTTTTTTTTTTTCAAGCTAGGTTCTGCAGAACAAAATGCTTTTTTTTAAAAAAGTAATTGTTCAAAATTATGCAATGCATTATTTTAAAGGCATATTTTTGCCTTCTAAAATTAAAAAATACTGAAGTACCATTCAGAAATGCATGCATCATCAAATTTACCATTTTGGGGGTGGAGGTATTTATTGCCAGTCCATCACTCTCTGATATGATGGTGTCTGTTTCATCAGAAGTTAGACTCTTCTCTTGGAAATACATATTTGCAGACAGTGCTGTAGCCCTCAGAGTAGCTAAATTAGTTGATCAGTCTGCTTTAGATCCCAGATCCCGAAGAGTTCAACACTGAAAATTTAACTATATAAAAATATGGTGAACGTAATAAGTAAGAGAAAGTGATGGAATTAAACTAAATAAAATGCAGAATTTTAAATTACAGGCTATGAAATAGCATGAAATCCAATGTTAGTGTTTGACAAGAAAGATTTCTTAGATTCTATCATCTTTTTGTCCTAACCAGTGTTCACAGAAAGCCAAACTATTAATCCTGAAAAAAATGACCACCAGACTCTAAGAAAAATAAACTGCTTTTTTTTTAAAAAAAAATAATCACAGTATGTATTTCACTGAAATGCATTTTTTGGTTTGTTTTACCTCCTTGTACTTTATATCACAGAACTGTAAAATTAATTTCTCTTAAGATGATCTTGTTTTATTTTTCTTTTAGAGAGTTTCTTTAAGGATATCAACAGAAATACATGAAGACTCCTGATAGTGGAAAAAAAAATACTTGAATATTCTAGGTTTCTTTTTACTTAGAAAATGTTGCAGAGGGACAAGGATTTATAAAGTTGTATAAAGAACTGATACCATTAACACCACAACATCTGTAACAGCATCCACTAAAACATTTTAAAAACTCACAGCAATGTTACTGCTACCTTTTTTCAATATTTTGTATTTTTTGTACTGTTTGATATATTAAAAATACTGTAATAGAAGCAATCTGTAGAAGCACTTGAAAGTCATCCAAAGACTTTTGATCTCCTCAGCTCTTGCCTTTTGCACATATCCATACTTTTTCATTTGTTATAGTCTCATTAATAACATTAGTTTTAAACTTGAGAAAGTACATTTTGCAAATGGTTAGGAAACACTAAGGCCGAATTCCTACTCTGATAAGTTGCAAGGACTGTGGAGGAAGGTGTGAGCAGAAAGAGGCATCTTTGTTTCAAGACTAGAAATTTGCAGTTAGTGGATGGCAACGCTATGCTACATGTTTCTGATACTGGACACTGTATAAACATACAAATCCTAGGAGAAGTTTAGACTATATTTCTTGAAAAATGTTTTCTAATCATCACGGCAATGCATGTTGTAAAAGTCTACCCTCTTTTCCCCTTTATGCACTGCTAGCCATAGGAATCTTGAAGTGGGAATAGAAAGTAAATTTACATTTTTGCACGATCTGCTAAAGGGGAATCTTACTGCTATTTGGTTAATACAAAGCAGAAGATTTCCAGCCTGTGTTTTAGCCTGCAGTGATGGAATGAAGAGGGCTTCCAAAATGTCATTGGGAGTGAATGGAAAACAAGAAGAGGCACCAGTAGTTTTCAGGTGTTCAGTTATATCTGTATGAGAAATTATATATATATATATATATATATATATATATAACTGAAGGAAAAAAAATTCTGGAGAGCTTCTGTAGTGAAGATACGGCATATTTGCTGCTATAAACTTATTTCTGTAATGAAAAACTTAGAACTAACTGAGAAGTCAGATGTTACAAGTGTCTGGAGGCAAAAGGGTCTTGCGTGTACAGATTCACTACCTCCATTTAGTGTATTAACCACTTGGCTATCAGTCAGGTTATCTGAATATTACATTTGCTGTGGTCTATCACAGTTTATCCAGAAATATTGATGATTTTCATTTGCTAATTTTCAATGAGATAAAGCAAGTGTATGTTTTGGAGAGTCATGTTTTAAGACTAGTAATCTGTTGATATTTTCTTTAATGTGTACTTTAAACTATTAAATTCAGCTGTTTCACAACTTAAAGAGTCCATGTTTTCTTTATAAGTTCTTCCAAATCAAAACAGTAAAAATATTTTTCAGTGTCAGATTTGCTTTTCACAGTATTCAGATTCTCTTTCACAGGTTTATAGTTACAAACATGTTAAAAATCAAATCTAGTACTGACTAAATGCAAGACTTATGTCTTGCTGATTGGGTACACATGCCTTCATGTGGAGATGAGAAATACTCAGAAGAAAATGTATACTAACCACTAAAAGTGTCATCCTGTTAGTTTGAAGGCCATGTTAAGAAAAGACCGTTTTCTTAAATCATTGAGTATTGTTTGTTTATTGCTTTTTACTCCTAGCTTTTTAAACGAAAGAATAAGGAGCTTGAAGTTATTTCAAATTATATCAGATTTCAGCTCATCAATTCACTAAACCCTTTACATGGATAAAACAAATTATGTTAACTTGAAGTTTAGCCTTAACAAATAGTGTGTTTTTCCAGTGAATCCAAGTACGCTTAAACAGGAAAAGAATCATTTGTATTGTTCTGATTTAGGCAGGAAATCACCACAATAAATTTCACAAGTTTCAAGTGGAGAGAACACAAAGAAAACATTAAATCATCATCCCAATACAAAGCACCTGAGTTCACACTTACTTAATCTCTTAGTACTCTGTCCTCAGAAGAATCATAATCCAACTTGCCAACCTTTACAGTGCGTACAGTCTCCTAAAGAGAAAAAAAATTAATTTTTTTTTTTCAGATGAAGTGGCAGAATCAAGATAATCTTGTTTATTGAAATCAATATGTTCATTCAAGTACTAAAAAATTACTGAATGAAGTCCTTCACATTTTTCTGAGCTTTATCATGGTATGTTTTTGCTGAGTTACACTCATGACCAGAAGAATGTGTCACTAACAGTTAGCCTTTGATTTAATTTTTTAGGCCAAAAACGTCGACATGCATCAACATGCAGACGGAGACAATGGATTATTACATTTTCATTTGTGCAGTGAATAACTATTGTAAACACTGATTATTCTCTGTCTCCAGGCAGCTTTTTCATCAAGATCCTAATTTTTTTTTTTTTCCAGCTAAAATATGAGTTGACAAGTTGCAAGCAATTGAAAAAAAAATTATTCTAGCAAGGTGTACCATTTTAGAAATTTGACTCTTGTTAAATAATGCTATTAATTTTTTTACCATCAAGTGATCTCTACAGGTTAGTACAGATGTCACAGTACACTTCTGTTGCTTTGCAACAGGCCCTTTTTTTCTGTATTTTCACATTTCTTATCAACAAGAAATAGATATTTTTTCTTGGGACCTATGCTAGAAATATTTTCACCTTCTACTCCTGTTTGAGTGATGTTTATTTGTCAGCCCATCGTGCGTGATTGAGAAACTTTTGCATGAACTACAGTAAATCACATGACAGTTACTGTTATTTTTAGTGATTATGCTAAATCATTTCTCTACCCCTTCTAAAAGGTGCAGAGTCTCATCTTTCTAGATTGTGCAGCTTGATCTGCTTATGAAATAGAACCATTGTGGTGTCCATCACAGTTCCGAATCACCTAAGAATGAGGCTCAATCGACTCAAAATACCTAAACCCCATTTTGTCTTAGGACACTGTTACTCTCTCTAATCTTTCCCATGTGTGCTCAGCGATCACCATATATCACACCTTTGTTTTTTCTCAAAAGGTATTCTAAATTATTATTTCTGATTTGCTCTGTTTGCATACTGTCTTATCTGTGACAGCAGAGTACGCTTGACAGTGGTATAATGATCTTGATGGCGAGAGGTTTATTTTCTGGCAGTGGTACTAGTTGCAAAAATTTCAACTGGAGGGATTATGGTAACATATGTCAGTAAATTTTGAACATTTCAGTATGAAGTTTGTAAAGACATTCAAGAGCTTGGTATTTTAACCTGCTCTGTAAACACAGAGTCTTAGTCTCAATACTGACACCACATTTTCACAAGCCTTCAGGTTTTGGAGGGTCTGCTTGAAGACTTCAGAGTGTTTGGGGTTGTTGAGCTTGTCCTAGTGGTTTACAATGTCCACTACAAATATTCTCTCTGGAAGAAGCTGGAAGAGCTCTTCTCCAAGAAATGGTGAAAGGCAGTATGGTGCTTGGATTTTAAGAAGGGGTAAAAGTTCATTTCCTTGGAAGATGAGCTGATGTCCCTTTATTTGGGAGAAATTTGATATAATGTAAGGAAGTTGCATTATATCAAGGAATTTGATTAAGGAAGATTTCTGTAGCTTTGACTTAAACTATCACAGCTGGGTCTGTCTTTCACTGCATTTATGTGGTGCTCATGGTCCATACATGCATACACGAACAGTATTGGCATGATGAAGCTTGACAGTGGTTAGAGTCCTGCATGTTGCTGTAATACACATAAATTATAATAATTGCTGTATTTTATAAAAAACAGAAGTGATTTTATGAGCTTTGGCTATGTTTTCCAATCGGTACTATAATGCAGAAAGAGTATTTCTCACATTTTGAATAGAGAATAGGCAACTTCCACGTTTGGTATCTGTATTTTTCAGTGTACACAATAGATGGCACTAGTAGACTACATGATCAGGGTTTATTTTCCATGTTCAGGCTGGAAAGTACAATAGTGTTGTAGGTAGCTTTAGCTGTTTTTAATAGTCATCTGGAGACCCAGTTAAATGTTTTGTTTTATTATGCCTTTGTGGAAAACAAGTCAGATCTAAGTTTCCTTGCCATCCCTTCTTGCCTTAATCTAAGTAAACATGTTTTGCTACTGCAACATGTAGTTTCTTAGCAACTTCAATATTCAAATTAATTTGTCTAAATCAAAGGAACCACTTGCTGTAGTTAGCGCTGGCGCAAGCTGCAATTCAGCTGTCATTATTAAGACACTTCCCTTGGGAAGTTTTTCCTACCCTATTACAAAGAAGATACATTCTACTCAGTAGCTTCAATAGACTTCTGTCAGTTTGCAGTGGAGCATCAGAAGACAATATAGACCTTATTTTCATGAAACAATAAAAAAAGAACAAGATTTTAATATTTCAAAATTGTAGCCATTCTGCACCAAGAAACAGTGATGTGTCAGGTTGTAAAAAATAAATAAATAAATAAATAAATAAATTCAAAGGCAGCTGTTGTATCTATTTAAAATCTGCTTTTGTTTACATATAATAAGTCTGTTTTCACTTATTTCCTTGCCTAACTAAATACTTGGATAGCATTTTTGCATGTATTTTGCGAAGTGTAGCAATAATGCAGGCCTCTGAATATCTATTATTTTACCTGGAATTATACAAGCTTAGTGTTCTTAGTCTTAAATAAACCACACCAAGCATAGATATTCCTCTAAAAACTCTCATCAAATGTTGCATGGATTTTTAAAAAATAAATATAGAAAGTGCTTTAACAAAGTATGAATTCTTTGTTACTGATAGACATCTTTAACGCGGTAGAACCTTCTTACTCCACCACAGGGCTCCTCTCCCAACACACATATTCAGTGTAATGCACTGTATGTGGAAGGTATATTGGCAAAAGTAGAAAACATGTAAAAAATCAATAGATTAAAGTTAATTTTAAAGGTCTTATGGAAGACTAGGGAAATTCTAACCAGGAAATAAGGAAATAACACTGGTAATGAGATACAATGAGTGCCATAGCTTTTATCTTTGTGCATAAAGTCTTGGTTTTATCTTTGTTCATTTTAGCTAGAATCTGGAACTATTTATTTTACGTTTGTCCATGGTGACTGGATGATGCAATTCTTGAGGAATACTATAATTCAGAGGAATTTTTTGTTCAAATCAACCAGCTTCCCCCCTAAACATCTAATGCATAGATAGTTCAAAAACTTTGACTATGATGCAGTCAAATTATCTGAAACCAGGGCTTATGCAGCCAGCCATTGTTATATCCCAGATTTTCTAGGCTGGCTCTGTTTTTTCTAGTAATCTATGCTAGATTTAATTCATATAGGTGATCTGGGAAAGTCAAACCCTATTATTTTGGAGCTAGCGTAAATATTGTTTTATACAATTGCCTCTTGCACAGAGTAGTTTTCCATAGTAAAATAATCTGTGGTGATTTTACCTTAAAAAAAGTTATAAATAGAATTTTGTACAGATTTGAACTTTCACTAGGATTACACCTAAAATCTTGTTTTACTGCTTAGAACTGAGTTTGACCATAGCTCTTGATTTTAAGGCAAAAAATGTAATGTTCAAAAACTGCTGATAAAATATGACTCTGTTCTTACAGACAGCTATTTAATCTTTGAAGATCCAAATTCAACAGGAGATAAGAAACTTCACTTGAAGGAAAAGTGATCTTCTTACCTTTATTGAACTAAAATCAGATGACAAGCCTTTTACTGGCTTTAATTGTTAGTTTTTCTTGCTCTGCTCAGCAAGTGCATATGTTGTTCATAGGGACTGGGGTTGTTTCCTGGATAGCTTCTGGAGTTTGTAGAATAACCTCAGGGATTAATCTGGAAAATAAGTTATTTCTCTGTAAGCAGTTTGAAGGAGATGTCTGTTCTGCTCTTGCTCCTTAAGCCCAACTTGTTTTCTTATCGAAGAAATGGAGTGTTCAAAGCTAAATGTTTAGCTTTAAGTCTTAGTATCAGAACCAATACCATAGATTGCAAAAGGCTATAGCTTTGATTAAGCCTCTAATAACATTTAATTTGAAATTCAGTGCAAAAGTAATCGTGTATAAAGATCATGGCATGGTGGCAAGATCTGAGAAGTCCCCAGGTAGCTGTAACAGTCAGAAGCAAGTGAGGAATGAGGACCCAGGCTTCAGCAAGCACTCCTTTTCTCAGGAGTGTGGAAGCTTTCCACTGGCAGGACTTCCTCTCGGTTTTGGGGGCACACAGACAGTGCCATTTCTTATTTCTCCCTTTGTCCTCCGTCCTTCTGTGTTACCTAATACTCAATTCATACACATGCTGTTGGCAAACAGCTCTCCTAGTATGTTAGTATTAGGATGTGG